AGGAGGAGGAGGAGGAGGAGGAGGAGGAGGAAGAGAAGAATCCCTCCGAAAAAAAGAATACAATCAATAAAGAGGTCAAAACGAGATTAGACATAGATGAGAAATGAAGTTTTGAAATAGGGGTTTACATTAGTGAAACCTACCTACAACTACCATCCTAATAAATAAGACTCTTTCCACTTTTCAGTATTGTGTCTTAAGAGGGATAAAAAAACCTTTCAATCCGCACATCTCTATCCAAAATTTACTTCCTCCGAGATGTCTTTCCTCACCATTCATTCCAAAACAGTGTCTCCTACCGCAACGTCATTCTCGAGCCCTTTTACCCTGCTTTGTTTTCTTCACAGCAACTCAAATCCCAAATGATAGAATGTATTTTTAACTTGTTTATTCCCTGTCTCCCCACACTAGAACGTGAGTTCAGTCAGATCAGGGACCTCATCTCCATATCAGTCTATCTCCAGTACCCAGAACAATTCCTAAATATAAATATCTCTAAAATAAAACGTAAACATAAACATCTCATGAATGAATTGCCCTGAGACATGGAAATGAGGAGAAATTTTTTCTCTGAGAGGCGTGGAAAAGCTAAGAAGACAATTTTGGGGAACGCTGGAGCAGCAGGATCCTGCCTGACTCGCCCTTGCTTCCCGTGTGGTAAACCTGAGGCCCTTGAGAAACTACAAAGTCTGTGCAAGGGGGTGGTCAGGGGTGCAGGGGAGGGCGCCCAGGAGCAGAAGAGAGGTGTGTCCACACCACACACAACATGGACACGCATGTGGGCGCGCGCGCGCACACACACATGCGCGCACGCGCGCGCACACATGCTGTGCTAGCCCCGTGTGAATGGGAAAGTTGGATTTAGGGCAAGGACTGAAATTTTAAATACTTAAGCATTCTTTTGGACAGCAGGCTAAAATTTCATGAGGATAAATGTACAAATAAAATGCTGAGGAGTGTCTAAAATAATATATATCACATTATTCTGTTACATACATTACAGGTCACATGAGGAAACTGAAACTCTCTACAGTCCTACCCAAATAGAGGGAACCATTTACAGCTGTTCAGAATGATTAGGATTGACAACTCTGACACCACAATGAGTAACTGCCTTGGTTCTGCTGTTCTTTTCCTTTTTTTTTTTTTTGCCATTTTTAACATGTACATTTTAACAGCCATTGTTGTTTTATTCATATTAGGTTTATCATTATTGCATTTCACATTTACTTTGGCGAATATCCTTCTTTGAGAATCTTTGACATTTCAGTTGGTTTTGATTTGTCTTTTTGGACCCACTCCATTCATAATAACTTAAATTTGAATCGTGCTTTTCAGCTCACCAAGAATTCATATTATCATTTGTGTCCTTGAACAGCTCTGTGGGAGAGGCAGAGATTAGAATTTCTATTTTATAAGTAAGGAAACTGAGGCTTCGTGAAGATAAGGGACTTGCCCAAGGTCACAGACATGGAGAATCACAGAGCTATTATACAGCTCAACTCCAGGTCTTTTGGCTGCTAGGAAGCTTTTCCCATATGACACGATGTCCATCACTAACCCAGCTTGGCTGGCAAAGAGCCAGTGTTCACACACATTATACATGTTTATGTTTAGGTATACGCACACGCACGTTATCAAATAGAAATTTAAAAAAATCAAATAGAACTCAAAAGATTATTGTGTTCTGCATCCACCCCCCCACCCCCACCCCCCAAAAAAAGGCAAGAAAACCCACTTCGCCATTTCTTCCCAGCAGGAATTCTGAGACTCCTTCTTCCGCCAGGTGCTTGTATAGTGTTACATGCATCTAATGTTCTTTTGAGTGACTCGGGGAGAACCATCAAACCACTTTGACCACCAAAAATACCCTCAGGGACAAGAGGGAAATTATTAAGGATAAGTCAAGCGGTAAATTCTAACCAGGGCTCCTATATAAATATTCAAGTTAAATCTGAACAAAGTTTACTTAAATAAAAAGTCAGAGAAATGGCAGATGGCAGCCCAAAGGAGGTGGTTTTGGGGAGAGAAAGGCCAAGCCTGCGAGAGGTAATAATTGTAGTAAAGCACAATCCTACTGGGCCGTTGGTATTCAACTGGTGTTCTTCCAGGCATTTGGCTTCCTTCCAGTTTTCCAGTGTTTCATTAGATTGTCCTGGTTTAAAGATTATTAAGTATAACTCAACACATCCACTGACTTGATGGACGGGTGAAAGGCCAAGCATGCTAGCTTATTATTAAAGACATCACCACCAGTTTAGGGCTTGATAATTAAATTAATTCATCCCCAAAGGTAGAATGAAGTCCCAGCTTATACATTACCAGGTATTACCACGTATTTCTGGTATTGGATCAACACTTTCAGCTCTCTAGTAACTGCCTGAGGCCCTGGCTGTTAGAGCCAGGTGGCACTTTAGGGAACAATCGAGTTTTATTTTTTAAAAATTAAGGAGTTGAAGGAATCTGTTCAGATATACAAAACTGAGATGAGAAAGAAGGTCTGACGTTGTGCTCTTGTGGTTGAAAAAAGTAAGGAATAGCGGTGTGTATAATATCCTACAATTTGTATTCTGAAGGGGTGTATGTTGTATGTGCGTATTCATGGAACATCTCTGGAAAATATGGGAAAAATGGGGAAGTTGTTGATGCAAAAGGAAGGGATTTTAGATAGTGGAGAACAGAAATGGAAGAGAAATTAACTTTTTTCCAGATATTCTTGCTACTTATTAATAGTTTACACATCTGTCACTCCTACTAAAAGAATATAAACTCCTTGAGGGCATCTTTGTAATCTCTAAGTGGGTTTAGCATTGTTTCTGGTTAAGTACTAAATAAATTATCATTAAATACTTACAGCAGATGTTCTTTTTTCACATGAAATAAATTTGACTATTATTGAGTATAATTCAGTACTAATTTTGTGGCTTTATCCAAATGGTTTATAACAATTAATCATTCTTAGAAGGACAGAAAACAACAGCTTTCTCTCTTCTGCCATTTTACCAGCACATAAATTATTTAGAGTACACTTGAAATAAACAGTTCTTAAGACTATTCTGATTTATGAAATGGAGAACGTTTTATAAATCATTTTGCTTACAGATGTTTCTTCATTTTTTCCCCCCAAAGGGGAAAAATGATTAGTTAGTATATTTTAAAAAATTGTAAAGCAGTGACTTTTGTGGTAGGGTATCTTTAATTAAATATTTTCTTAGGTGCTTCTTATTAAATAATTCTTCTGTAGCCTATTTACACTCTTGGCATTACTCTTGAATAAGATATTGCAAAGTCAACGCACATTTTCTAGGAAATGGAAAACTATGCTCCAGAATTAAGTAAAGCAGAAGCAAAGAAAACAAACTCTCAGGAGAATGGAAATTAAATTATTTATAGACAGACGTTTATTTAATTAAGCTTTCCAGAAGATACGTTAAAAATTGTGAAAAACCTCTCTCTCTCTCTCTCTCTCTCTCTCTCTCTCACGCACGCACGCACGCACGCACACACACGCACGCACACACACACACATTCAACACTCACTCACTCACTCACACAGAGCCCTCTCCAGCATTAAGTCCCTATGGCGTGAAAGCAAAGTATCTGATGTTAGTACTGGACAGGAGTTACTGAAGACTTCAATGTGTACCATACTTGCCTGCCCTCTAGTGGTCATTTGCGAACATTGCCGTTCCCTGGGCTTTTGGGTCTTTCGTCCTGGGCATTTCCAGAGAGCGCTTTTCAAGCTAGTTTTTATAAACAGATACCTAAGCCCCATTTCTATTTATTCTGTTAACTGCTAATTTGCAAAAGGTGTTATTAAAGGGCTTAAAAACAGTTTATTCTTATGAGTAGTTAAACATCTCTATCTTACTTATGCAAGTAATTTGCTTTGTAAACTTTGTTTCATAATAGTGCAAAGGATAAACTGTAATGGACTCCAGAACCAATTAGCCCAATTCTAAATGAATGACTTCACAGTATTTAAATAGAAGAAAGAAATGGTATCCCTGTATGTGCATAATTATGATAGTGGTTTTTATAATGACATTTTGGGACTGTCTCACGAAGAAACTTCTTTCCAATTCAGACTTCTGCAGTTTTTGTTGTTTGCTCTTTAACATTTATATTTATTTGTGACCACACCAAGGCAGCCAAAGGGCATCTGGCAGATGAAAACTCTCAGCCTGTGGCATAAAGCCTATAAATTATCAACTGTTCCCATTGAGAGTAGAATGTTGGCACTTAGTAACAAAGCCTGACTTGCCACCATGATTGCCTGTTTTTGGAGAATATGTTCTATCTGTTAGGATTAAGTTTAGTGCAAATATGTGACACCCAAGGTAACAGTGCCTTAAAGAAGGTAGACCATTGTTTCTCGCTTGCATAAACAAATTCCAAAGTTAAGGGTCAATATGGTGCCTCCAAGTTCAAGCAGAGCTGAGGTTTCTCTAGCTTGTTGCTCTACCACCCTCAGTGCCCAACTTACACCTCAAGGTCCAAGGTGTCTGGTCTGTTTCCAGGCAACATATCCACATCCAGCCGGCAGGAAGGATGATGGGCAACAACATGCCCACTTCCCTTTAGGATCTTCCTTAGAAGTTGCACCCATCACAACTATGGTACATCCAATTGGCCAGAACTTTGTCACAGGCCACAGCTGGCTGATATGTCTTTGCTCTAGGCTGCTCGGTTCCAGTTGAAAATCAGGGGAAAAGGCAGAATTGGTATTTAGGGACAACTTGTGGTCTCTCCTATAACCTATAGTCACACCAATTGCCTTCATTTGACAAATCCTACTCTTCTCTGGTTCTCCGATGGCGTTTCCTTTGCTTTCTATTGAAAGGTAACGTCTTCTTTTACATTTGTCTTCCAGTCAGAAGTTCTGATAATGAAGACTGTCTTCTCTTTTTTTGTCTCTTTGTTTTTTTTCGTCTCTAAATACACTCCAACCACTTGGCCTGCAGGTTTTCACCACGTGGGTGCATTCCTTCCTTCCGCAGGTGATGGCTGTGCCACCTGGCCCGCTGCAGCTGCTGGGAGTGCTGCTGACCATTTCCCTGGGCTCCATCAGGCTCATCCAGGCAGGTGCCTACTATGGGATCAAGCCGCTGCCTCAAATTCCTCCTCAGCTCCCACCGCAAATTCCACAATATCAGCCCCTGGGCCAACAAGTGCCTCACATACCTCTGGGTAAAGATGGCCTTACCATGGGCAAGGAGCTGCCCCACATGCAATATGGCAAAGAGTACCCACATCTACCCCAATATATGAAGGAAATGCAGCCGGTGCCAAGAATGGGCAAGGAAGCAGCACCCAAGAAAGGCAAAGGTAACGTCATGCTCCTGGGCTGGTATAGAACAGCAGCTTTCCAGAACCCTAAGCTATGAGATCGGGGGGTCGGGGAGCTAAATTTCAGAATGTTTTATTTTAGAATACATTCCTAACATTTATTAAATACCTACTGCACTCCAAATTCTGTCCTTGAAAAGTTCAAGTCTTAAAGAAATATACAGACAAAAATTACTATTTTATGAGGTGCTTTATTGTTTTCACAGCATCAAATGACAGAAAACATATTTAATAAAAAATAGTCTATTTCTTCATTCATTACTTATTTATTCAAATATCCAGCAATTATTTAATGAGCATCTATTTTTGTGTCAAGCTCTGGGCCAGATGCTGGGGGACAAAGCAGTGAAAAAATTGAAAGGCGACCATCAGTGTTCTGAATTAGGAGAGCAAAGTTGTAAGAACCTGTTATGTTTAAACAATACTCACATAGAAGTATTTTGTGAACCAGGTACTAGATAAATGCAAGTGTTTTAAGACTGCTCTAATTAAGTTCCTACACATGTCAATCAATAAATCGACAGAAGGAGACTATGGAGTATAGACTGCATCTAGAGGTCATACCTGAAAAATCTCTCCCACTACTTTCTAGGCATGTTTACTAGTTATTCAACACCTGCAAAATGCTAATTACTGTAAGCAACACTTTTTCATAAATTCAGTTGATTTATTTGGAGTTCTAGGAAACCTAGCATTTGCAGGAAAGGTACTATTGGGTCGTCGGGAAAGTCATGATGCATTTTTGCACTGAAAAACATAGAAAAACAGTCATGACTTGCCCGACAGCCCAATACATCAGAGTAGCAATTCCCTTTGAGGAAGTGGAGGCCATTTCTCTGGTTCCTGCAAAAGCAGGAACCTTCACTTCTGGAGAATTATTGGCTTTGGCAGTAAGAGGCCTAGAGGCCTGGAGGCCAGAAATGAGGGAGACCTAGTCATTTAACCTCTCTGAAACTACTGTTCTTCATCTGTAAAGTAAGATTGTTGAGAGGATCAATGACACAAGGTAAGTAAAAGTGCTAAGTAAACACTATAAAACTCCATAAGAATTCTAAGTTGCTAAAACTGGTCTCACAACAAACCCTAAGTAAGAACAGAGTAAGTTCCAGGCACTGTGCTAGACACTGGGGATTCCTGATTAATAAGACGTGACTTTGCCCTAGACACGACCTTGATATAGTAGCTACACAATTCACTGCTTAGAAGTAGCATGCCTGAATACTATTCTTGTAATAACTATTAGCATAAAAGAAGTATTACCAATTTTCTTCTCTTTAGGAACTGATATTCCACAGGGGGTATTATCTCGGCCATTTGTTTTCCTTCCTTTCTTGAATGGCCTGCCTGGCTTTTGGCATTTCCTGTACTTATTCACATGAGTACCAGATTTCAATCAGGGAATTTGGGAAGAATATGAGTTCTGTGGTTTTATTTTGTTCACTGACAGTAGCTCAGTGCAAAATATAATAGTCAGGATTAAGATGTGACCATTGGTTGAAATAAGACTTTGGGACCATAAATTCCATTTTTTTGTGTTATCCATTACTCCCAGTAGCAATCGGAGATCCAAAGTTGTGTTTCTCTGCAAGGTGTAGCATAATCATTTATAATAATATATGCTTGTATTTCAATAACAGTTCGAGAAAGCATCACACCTTTCATATACATTATCTAATTTTACAGTGTGGGTATATTATTCTGGCTATATAGGTAGGCAAGCAGAGATGCTAACGGCTTAACTAACCCAATCAAGATCTCATTCCCAGGCCAGGAAGAGAAGCTGTGCTTCTAGCTCCTAATCCCAGCTCTACTTCATATTCATACTGTTTATCATTCTAAAACCCTAAAATATCTTATTCACTTCTCCCATTTAAAAACCAAATTTGCAAATGAGAAAAAAACATATTAAAGAACAAATATCTGAGGGTTAGTAAATCCTATAGCACAGTAAAGAAAGTAAGCAAGTCTATTTGACTCTAGAGGACGGATATGGAAGATGCTATTATTACATCACAAACAAAATAAAATGCTCCAATTCCTCCCCAAGTCCACATTGTACTGCATTTTCACACAAGAGGAAGTATTTTTGCCATATATTATTATATTAAAAAATCAAGGACAAGGAGATCCAAGTTAGCAAAGTAGATAAACACTGTCCCTGCATCCTTCTGTGAATACATTAAAATTACAACTAAAATGATAGAACAATCAACCTGGAGAACCACCTGAAGTCTAGCCGAACAGAGGTCCTATAATTAAAAATATATGGAAGCCACACCGAGAATGGTAAGAGGGGCAGAGACACAGAACAGACCCCAAACCTTCCTGTGGCAGTTGAAAATCAGGAGGGGTATCTTGGCTGCAGAGGTTCCCCCTGGAGGAGCCAGGGACCCCAGCCCGCCACACCAGACTCTCCAGGCCAGAGTACTGGTGCTGGAAAGAAGAGCCCCAAAACATCTGCTATGAAAAATAGTGGGGATTCCAACCATTTGGGTGAGATGACAGAAAGCTGAGGGAAACGCAGATGTCCTCTTAAAGGGCCCATGCACAGACTCACTGTCTCGCAGGCCCTTGCCTTGGGCTCCAGTGGAGGGACAGTGACTCGGGGGTCCTTGGAGACATAGAGGGGACAAAATGAACTGTGTGACTCCAGGTGGAGGACTGGAGAACAGTCAGCATTTTGTTGGTGAAGAGGTCCTCCTCCCATGCAGCCAGCAGACAGACACCATCTCTCCTGTGTTGAGCCTGCCCTCACAGGCCAAATCTGAATCTGAAGGGCCTGGTGAGCTCTGCAGCTCCACCCTGCTGCCTCACTGGGACTCTGCCTCACCCAACTCCTGCACCACTGGAGGCACTTTCTCCACAAGCAACCAGCTCACCCTCATTGTACTCCCTTGGAAAACTATCGAAGTTCACAGGCCCCAAGCAGGCAGTGACTGGCTTCACTGCGCTCTGAGACTTTTGCCAAGTCACTCCAGGCTCAGCACTGGCACCAAACCACAGTCTACATTAACCTGGTGACCACAACTCTTCCTGCTCTAGTGACTCCCTGAGACCCTGCCTCACCCAACTTGTGTATTGCATGAGGCTTTATCAGCAGCTGAACCTAAAGGGAGCCGGCAGGTGGCAGCAGGCCTCTGGGTGTCCTGGCTTTTTGTGGAGTTACCCTAGGCCTGGTATTCGTGGCAGCTGTCCTTGGTTCTCAGCATGGCTTCTCCCACACGCCTGCAGGTTTACCACAGGCAGCAAATAACTGCGGATCACTTTGTAGCTCCTACCAGGCAGCCCCTTAATTATATAAATGTCTAACCACCATGCTGTACACCTGAAATTAATATAAAATAATATTGAATGTCAACTGTAATTGATAAATTTAAAAAGGGGGGGAAGGTGAAAGGAAATAAGAGATCAAAATTTCCAGATATAAAACAAATAAGTCATAGGGATGTAATGTACAGCATGGGGAACAGATTCAATAATATTGTGATAGCAAAGTACAGTGTCAGATGGTTGCTGGACTTATCATGGTATATAAATGTTGAATAACTATGGTGTACCCCTGAAACAATATAGTATGTTACTATATATACTATAGTATGTGAGATATATTTTTAATAAAAATCTTAAAAATAATAAAATATAAGAATTCAGGAAAGTAATTTAGATAAAATATAAAGAGAACAGCTGAAGGAAACAAATTGCCTTAAAGGGATGTTTCCATACTGTGGTATTTAACTTTTGACCTACTCTAAATGTAGGATACCCTCCCTAAATGTGCGGACAGCATTTTCCAAACTATTTTCTGAAAATTCCATTTAAAGATCTTGAATCTTTAAATATTAAGGGTTTTCTAAATTTATTTCATATAACTGAATTATGTAAACAAATTACTAGGTATTAAGATATATAAATTCTGTTACATTAGATAGAAATTACAATCCATAAAAAATCAAGGAAATGGAAAAATACAATATAACAATAAGTAGTAAAAAAATAGAAAAAATAAAAATGGAGAATGGCTCCAACATTGTTTAAATTACATACACACACATATCTAGAACACATGAGATGGAAATATATGTAAATGTCAAGTGATTATCTCTGAGTAGTGGGCTTATAGGCAACTGATTTTTCTTTATCCTTCTTTGAATTTTCTACATTTTCTACAATGAACACACTATAATATCTCCAAGTTTTACACTTGGGAAAATGTTTCTTTATTACTTTTGCGGTTTTTTTACTTAACCAATGCTGATAAAAGTAGCGGCAGATATAAATTCTCAAAACGCTATCTCAAATATGTCAAAGAAATGATCAGCTTGATTATCCTTTAAGTATTGATAACATACAGTCCTGGAAGATGAGCACATTACTCCTAGTTTTTTCTCTCAATAAAATAATAGGCAAGTGTGCCAGAACTAAGTAATCATTTTCATGATTTTCTTGAAGGGAAGGATAATCAATATTCATCGCTCTTTTTCCCTCCCTCTCTCCATCTTTCTCTCTTTCTCTCTCTCCTCTTTCCCAGTAGAAGTACCATTAGCCAGTTTACGAGGGGAGCAAGGTCCCCGTGGGGAGCCTGGCCCAAGAGGACCACCTGGGCCCCCTGGTTTACCAGGTCATGGGATACCTGGAGTCAAAGGAAAACCAGGGCCACAGGGATATCCCGGAATTGGAAAGCCAGGTATGCCTGGAATGCCAGGAAAGCCAGGAGCCATGGGAATGCCCGGGGCAAAAGGTGAAATTGGACCCAAAGGGGAAATTGGGCCCATGGGGATTCCAGGACCACAAGGACCTCCCGGGCCTCACGGACTCCCTGGCATTGGGAAACCAGGTGGACCAGGGTTACCAGGGCAACCGGGTGCAAAAGGAGAGCGAGGACCCAAAGGCCCACAAGGACCTCCAGGCCTTCAGGGTCCTAAAGGAGAGAAGGGCTTCGGGATGCCAGGTCTGCCAGGCCTGAAGGGTCCTCCAGGGATGCATGGCCCTCCCGGCCCTGTCGGACTTCCAGGAGTGGGCAAGCCAGGAGTGACAGGCTTTCCTGGGCCCCAGGGCCCCCTGGGAAAGCCAGGTCCTCCAGGTGAACCTGGGCCACAAGGCCCGGTTGGGATACCAGGGGTTCAAGGACCTCCTGGGATGCCTGGAGTTGGAAAACCAGGTCAGGATGGAATACCTGGCCAGCCAGGATTTCCAGGTGGCAAAGGGGAACAAGGACTGCCTGGGCTGCCAGGACCCCCAGGCCTTCCAGGGGTTGGAAAACCAGGCTTCCCGGGACCCAAAGGTGACAGGGGCGTAGGGGGTGTTCCTGGGGTTCTGGGACCAAGAGGGGAGAAAGGACCGGTAGGAGCCCCTGGATTGGGGGGTCCCCCAGGAGAGCCAGGCCTGCCTGGAATCCCAGGTCCTATGGGCCCTCCAGGTGCTATTGGTTTTCCCGGACCTAAAGGAGAAGGTGGGGTTGTGGGGCCACAGGGGCCACCAGGTCCCAAGGGTGAGCCAGGGCTTCAGGGCTTCCCAGGAAAGCCAGGTTTCCTTGGTGAAGCAGGGCCCCCTGGCATACGGGGTTTGCCAGGTCCCATGGGGCCCAAGGGGGAGGCTGGGCACAAAGGTTTGCCAGGGCTCCCCGGGGCCCCGGGGCTGCTTGGACCAAAGGGAGAACCAGGAATCCCAGGGGACCAGGGTTTACAGGGCCCCCCAGGCATCCCAGGTATTGCAGGCCCTAGTGGCCCCATTGGACCACCTGGAATTCCAGGTGCCAAAGGGGAACCGGGACTCCCAGGGCCCCCTGGGTTCCCCGGAGTAGGGAAGCCCGGAATAGCAGGACTTCATGGCCCCCCCGGGAAGCCTGGTGCCCTGGGTCCTCAAGGCCAGCCTGGCCTTCCAGGGCCTCCAGGCCCTCCAGGGCCCCCAGGCCCCCCAGCTGCCATGCCCCCTACACCACCTCCCCATGGAGAGTATTTACCAGATATGGGGCTGGGAATTGATGGAGTGAAACCCCCTCATGCCTATGGGGCTAAGAAAGGCAAGAACGGAGGGCCAGCCTACGAGATGCCTGCATTTACCGCTGAGCTGACTGCACCTTTCCCACCCGTGGGGGCCCCGGTGAAGTTTGACAAACTGCTCTATAACGGCAGACAGAACTACAACCCGCAGACGGGCGTCTTCACCTGCGAGGTCCCGGGCGTCTACTACTTTGCATATCACGTTCACTGCAAGGGGGGCAACGTGTGGGTTGCTCTGTTCAAGAACAACGAGCCCATGATGTACACATACGACGAGTACAAAAAGGGCTTCCTGGACCAGGCTTCGGGGAGTGCGGTGCTGCTGCTCAGGCCCGGAGACCGCGTGTTCCTCCAGATGCCCTCAGAACAGGCTGCAGGACTGTATGCCGGGCAATATGTCCACTCCTCCTTTTCAGGATATTTATTGTATCCCATGTAAAAAAAGAGAACAAAAAGAGAGAGATTTAATAGAAGAAAATGATGCGCCAAAAAAATCCGAATGAAAACCATAGTTGCTTCAAAACATTTATATAGTTGGAAAGTTATATTTAAGTGAAAAGTTTGAACCATCATGTACAAATAAAAACTACGATGCATGTTGTATGCTCTGCACAGCGGCTTGTAATCAAAAATGATGGGATAGATTTCTGTATAAGTACTGACACTTGTGTTGTACCCACTGGAGTCATATTGGCTGTTGTATGTTATGTGCTTCCATGATAACCTGCTTCTTCAGATCAGTCAAAATATTTCAGTATGAAAGATCACAGCTAATGAAAGTCACTCACTCATCTTGTTTACTTTAAAATCTCTATAAATGTGGCTTAAAGACATGTCAATAATAACAATTACATACCGTATTTACTTGCGTAATTTCCTGTGTTTATGCAGATCATTTGCCATGGAATGTGTGTGGGGGGGACCCGTTCTGCAGTGTTACTGCTTCGGTGGGGGTGTGAGGGACGGGGTCCACTGGAGGGCTTTCATGCAAGGGCTGTTTCTCTCCTGTGTCTTTTAGCAACAGGAGTCCCACTCAGCATTGCATATCTATTGTAGTGTCCCTACGAGAACAAGTGAACCAATTGACCACTGTGTATTTACTCGGTGCTTTCTCTGTGTCTAGCACTGGGCAAGGCACCTTTGTGGGGATTAAAACAGCGGCCCACAAGGAGCGAACGAGCCAGCTGAGAGACATGGGCAGTAATTAACTCATTTATTCCTCAAAGGTTCTTTTTGTTTGTTTTCTGATTTTCTTTTTTCTTCTCTCTGTGTAATTTCCACTATGGCCCAACTAATATAAATACCTGGAAGTCATAAGGAAAAATAAATAAATAATGGTCTCTCCCCATGACTTTCCAGTTTTGTGGAATATTCATTATCAATAGCAGTTATTATGTTTACATGCATATAAAAATCTCCTTTGCCTACACACACAGAGGACTACAATGAGGTTTCATCCATTCAGGGGATATCAATATTTTTTTTGAACCATTGAATTTCAAAGAAATTTCCCTGTGTAATGCACATGCAAACTGGTTTGTCAGCTGAGGTTCCAAAATCACTTTCCAAAATCCAATCCAACATTTATGTGTGGGTGTAAAAGAATTACACAGAAAAATATTTTTTTTGAAAAAATAATTTCTGAAGTTTTGAATTTAAAAATGAATGTACTGCTTCCTGGTGTAGGTACTAAAACTGTAGGAAAAGAACTGTTTCTTTAGAAGCAACCTGTGGAAGAGCTATCTGTAATGTCAAGGGTGACGACAGCCCATGCTTTTCATGTCACCCCTTACTCAAAGAGCCAATACAAGTTTAAAGAGAACAATAAATATTTTTCCAAGCTTTCACAAGCTTTCACATACTGACTGCTTTGGGCATTTAAATCTGGTCTCAAAACACAGGCAAAGCATTTCCAGTCAGCTATGAGTCTACTGCTGACATTCTAAGCCACTGGGGGAAGTAATGTGGGGTTATGGTGGTGGAATCTTGTGTCTTTTCCTCAAAACGAAGAGTGAGGAGTTGAGGGGATAGTTACAGATGGGAAATTACACAAATAAATACGGTATATGGAAATGTGTCTATGTGAAATCTGAATCATTTTAACCATCAAGAAAATTATCTTCAGTCTAATACGTCTGTTCTCTTATATGGTATAGGAGCACCATGTCTTCTCAATTTCTGAAAAACAGAAATGAGTTAATTGCCACAGCATTTCTTATTCACTGCTAATTATATGACAAAATTTTCCCGTCAAAAAATGTCCCACCCAACTTTCATTTTTCAAAGCAGACAGCATGTATGTTGCCAAATATCCTTTGGGATGGTCTTCGAGGATGCTGGTTTGGGGCTGATGACAATGGGGCCAATATGGATCCATTCGGTTCCTTCTGCTGAACAGCTGCATTGAAATGGTTTGGAAGCAAGCCAGGTCAGCTGATCTGTAAAACTGTATTTATCTGTACATGTATGGGCTTTTTATTTCTACCACATAAGAGAGAAAGTACCTATTTAGTTAAAACCAAATTTCACTTTCCAAAATACCAACTTATTTATTGGTTGTTACTCAATTGCCTATATGTGTGTGTGTGTGTGTGTGTGTGTGTGTGTCTGTGTGTGTGTGTCTGTGTGTGTGTCTGTGCATGTATGTATATTATCGGGCATATGCTTCTAACTTTTAGATAGGAGAGGAGCAAAATCTATGCCAGATACTGTGTATTCTACAATGGTGCTAATCTCAGAGCTAAATGAATGACTCCATTTAATTTAAAAAAGAGTTTTAAATAATTATCTATGTGTCTGTGTTTCTCTTTTGAGTGTTGCACATCACGTTAACACATTAGTGTAAAAGCAGAGGAAACAACTGCATGCTCTAAAGTCTAGGGATAGTACTATAACCCCTATTTAATTCAAAGTTAACTAGAACTTTTCCATGTGAAATGGACCCAACTGGCATTATTGTTATTTAAATACAGAGTTTTAAGCAGCGTGACATCCCATGGGGGAAAAGAATGTCTGTAGTGGGTGATTGTTCTCAAATATCTTACAGAATACCATGAATGGGGAATAGACTGGTGACTTTTTCGAGTTTCCATGATAGATTTGAGACTTGTCAATAGCAAATCATTTTTGTATTTAAATTTTTGTACTGATTTGAAAAGTCTTATTAAATATGTTTAAAAGAATGTTTCTCATCTTGTTCCTAACACTCTGCGGACAGTTTGAACCTCATAACGTTTTTGTCCCCCAATGTATTAATTATAGAGGAAACGAAGACCTACAACAATCTTAGCCTAAACAGGACACTTATTTCTCTCTGACATTACAACTCTGAAGATAAGTAGTCTAGGATTCACGTGGTAGCTCCAGGCAAGGCCCCAGTTTCCTTCTAAAGCAGTCCCCCTTGTCCGCAGTCTCACCCGTGTTTTCAGTTACCTGCAGTCAACTGTAGTCCAAAAATATCAGATGAAAAATTCCAGACATAAACAATTCATATGTCTTAAATTGCATACTATTCTGAGTAGCGTGATGAAATCTCACAGCATGCTGCTCTGTCCTGCCCCAGATGAAAATCATCCCTTTGTCCCATGTATGGACGCTATATATACTACCCACGTTTTAGTCACTTAGTAGCCTCTTAGTCTCAGTTATCAAAGCGATAGACCACAAGTCACATAACGTTTATTACATATATTGTTATAATTGTTCTATTTTATTATTAGTTATTGTGGTTAATCTCTTCCTGTGCCTAATTTATAAATTACACTATTATAGGTATGTGTGCATAGGAAAAAAATGTAATATATATAGGGTTCAGTATTATCTGTGATGTCAAGCATCCCCTAGGGGTCTTGGAACTTATTCCCCACTGATAAGGGGGACTACTGTACCTTTTTACCCTTCTACCTGAAGATGGTGCCCCATCTCCAAGGTCCAAGCTAGCTAACCTTCACAGCCACATTCCAGCCAGTGGGAAGGTGACAAACAGGAAGGGAAGAGTATGCTCCTTTCTTAAAGGACTCAACCCAGCAGTTGGTTATATCACTCCCTCCCGCATCCCACTGCTCTGAATTTAGTCGCATTGCCACAATGAGCTGCAAGGGAGGGTGGGAAATTGAATATTAATTCAGGGTAACCACATGCCCAGCTAAAAAATGAAGAGTTCTACTAATATGAAAGAAGGGAGAACAGATATTAGGGGACAATTAGCTGTTGCATCTGTCATATCTATCATAAAAGAAAAAAACTGCCACAGAGCTTTCTTTCTCCCACAGCCTTCGAATACTCTATTTCACGTTACCACACGAGAGCCAAATGGTTTGAGGGGCTATGGTGAGTGGAGCTAAAGAGCAGAAGCAGAGCTGTTTCAAGGTCCTACGGGTCTTCATAAGCATCACTGATAAGGAAAGGATTCTTTTGCGATGACTTGTCAAGCTCAGGTTGATCATAACCTATCATGTCTAGAATACTATAAAGGGATTATTCAGATCATTCAACAAGGAAGCATGTAGCACCAGTGTGTGACTGGTTAGCTCACTCATTTAACATTGAACCTGGAAACTCAAGACCACAGCTTTCATTCCCATCTAGACCAATTAATATTATTTCATTCCACAGGCAAAGACTTTCATAAAATGGACCAGTCATCTTGGGTACACAATATTGGTGACAGAAGTAAATGGAAGAAGGATGGATAGATACAGGAGACCAGAGGCATGAAGGACTAAATGGTTAGAATTCTGAATGCTGGACAAGCAGGGCAAATCCATCATGACAATGGGTCTATAGTATCTCTTTATGTTAAAACCAAACAAAGTAGCCCATACTTTGTACCTGATATTATAAACAAATGTGAGGAGCACAAAAGCGATAGAAAACATGACCCTTTTTCCTTAAAAAAAAATGTGTCTTTCGTTTGGAGGATATCAAGATGTTTGTTAAACAAGAAATTGATTTCCAGGTGAATGTGCAAACAAGTACAGGGTGGCATGGTGCCAACGGATACATACATGCTGGAGAAGTTCAGAAAGAGAAAGATCATTCCCATTCTGTGCAGCTCCCTCCCTGGGAATGCTCTCTCTGACTTGTCTGCTGAATAGTTCCTCCTCACCCCTCATGGCACAGCGCAAGCACCCTTCCTCTTCCCTATTGCTCAGATTTAGTCACTTTCTCCCATTTCACCACCCTGTCTTGCACCGTCTTCTGTCCCTTCACCTTTCCTACTTTGTAATGAACTGTGTCTGTCTCCCCTATTAGAGTGTAAGCTTCTTGAGAACAGGCACCTTGCTGTTTCATCTTTGCATCCACAGCCGTCACAGAGCACTGGCCTGGTACCAGGTTTGAGGGAAGAACGCATCTCTCAAGGTCACTGTGGGAGGCAGTGCTAAACTCACTTTGAGGTGTGACTGAAGCCAGCTCTGGGATTCCACGGTTATACAGAAGATTATATATTCCAAGAGACACTCACTGTGGGATGAAACAGTCTCAGATAGTTTTCCTGGAGATAATTTTTAAAGAAATCATCTTTAATTTGATAGAATTTAGATGGATGGAACATGGGGCATCCCCAAAAGAATAGCCTCTCCTTCTCTAATACACACAGAGAGGGAAACTCTGTGTGTGTGTGTGTGTGTGTGTGTGTGTGTGTGTGTGTGTGTCCTGGGGTAGGGTGAGGGGCAGGGAGGCTTAGAGAAGGGAAATGCCTAACTAGATCCTCTGATCTACTCAAGGACTAGTAAAGGAAACTGATTTACTGATTTAATAACCAAAAGAGGGTCAAGTGATGCAGGACTTTACATATTAGGGAAGAGACATTTGTATTTTATCTAATATGCAATAAGAAGACATTGTATGTTCTTAAATGGGAAAATGGCAAGAAAATACCTATTTTAGGAAACTTATTTTGATGATACTTTGGGGAAGTTAAGATATAAGTAAGTAAAGCCAATGAGGAGATCTAAACAGCTATACTCCAGGAATGGGAGAAGGGGTTGATGGTGAAGGGTCCTAACCAAACCTCAAGAGTGAGAATCAGATGTCAGGCTGGATATCAGGGTTTCAGGACTGCAAAGCAATGGAGTTATTTCAAGGGCTAGGAAATGGAATGAAGAATGGAAAACTGAAGAGAGAGTTGCAAGACTGAACTGAACTTGGGGGCAATCCCAGGATGGCCTTGTGAGGGAGAAGAAAGCTTGACCCAAAGGTGGTTTCTTCACATTAATACAGTGGAAGAGGGATGGTGCCACTGACAGAAATGGGTAGTCCACCAGCAAAGCCTGCTTCACGCAGAAAAGGAGAAGACACTCAATTTATTTAGAGCCTTGTGGGATTTGACCTGACAGTGGGAGATGCCTATGCTCCAGCTGGGCATTTGGCAGGAAAATGACAGGTGGAGCCATGAGCCTCGAGAGAGACCTGGTGGTCTCTGTAATAAGAGGGAGAAAAAAACACCAACTTAAAATTAGTAGCACTATTTGCAGACAAAAATTATTAAGTAGCTTTAAAATCTCCTCCTTTACTTTCTGTGTGAATTTATTTAACAAATCCTTTCATCATAGATACAGCAAAGGTAAATGTCATCCCAATCCATATGGAATTACAACTCATTCCAAATATACAGCGCCAACAGAGTATAAATCAATCATGTTTTACTATAGTTCAGAAAAGTTTTTCTCCTTAATGGTCCCTGTGACTCTAAAAATTCAAATGTTCACGCTCATGCCAGATTATGAAGAAGAAAAATATCTATGGAGTAAGCCTTAGGGCTATCTTTCTTTTACAAAGAGTGACACAGAATTTCTGATGCTTTCTTTCCTTTTTAAAACCAATATTTGTGTCAGGATAAGTTTTATCCTCAAACAAGTTATTCTTTATGATGTAAAATAGTAGTTTATAATTTTTTATTAGAATTTTTTTTTTGCTAATTCCCGAAGATAGGTGTAATGGAATTTAAATAAAAAGTGAGGCACATCATCCCATTTTAACAAGTTATTCAGACGTCTCTCATGTGTGTTACTAAAACACAGGGCCATCTAATCACATTTTCCTTTGAGGCATCCAGAGCCTTTCCAGAGATTCTTAGTTTTTCTTTGCTATCTTACTGCAAGTAAAAATAGATTTTTATTCAAATCAAAAGCACTTCTAAATTAAAGTTTATGAATCTTATGGAGACCTACATTTTACATGCCTTGTTAACTCCACCGAGACCTAAAAATTAATTTTGTAATGAGCAAGGCCAACTGAGTTCTCATCTGACAAGTGAGTGGCTGGCAGCAGTGGCTCACATCTGATCTCCATTTGTGGAATGAGAGACACAATGGGGAAAGCTAATGGAACGCTGACCAATCTCCAACTGCCTACTACTAATAATAGTTGCCTTTCCTCATCAGAAACAATGCTGTCATTGTCATTTGTTCTGCCAAACTGGAGTCACCAATATAGAACACGTTAGGAGAGGGCTCTGGGGTCAGATTCAGAGAACAAATCTCAGCTCCTGTTTTTACCAGCTGTGTCATCTTGAGTCAATTACTTAACCTCTACTAAACTTTACTTTTTACTAAACTTTACTAAATTACTAAATTTTACTAAATTACTAAACTTTAGCTTTGCACCTGTAAAATAGTAAGAGATATGGTAACTGCCTTCTACAGTAGTAGTAGGGTGTGGCCTGGAGGGTTAACAATTGCTACTACCATTTACTGAGCATCAACTCTGTATCAGAAACTGCTTTAAGTGTTTTTATGTATTCATTTAGTTACTACTCATAAATCTTATTATTAGCTCCATTTTAAAGCTGAAGAAACTGAGGTATAGTAACTTGTCCAAGATGTAATAAATGACAACGCCAGGATTTTAACCCAGATGTCTGGCTTCCCAGTCCACTCTCTGAGCTAATTCACCATATTGCCTCAAGGCAAGAGGTAAAAGTTGTCAACTGTCTAAGCAAACAACTGCCAGTGAGGGTTCAGAAACTAGCTTGCCTCAAAAGAGAGTGGTGACCGAGTGCTCAGTTATTTCTTAGTCACTGTCCTTACAATAGAAGCAGCCAGCTACCGGAAGACTATATTGACAAATGTGATGGTGATATCCCCTAGGAGATACGATGGCATATATATATATATATATATATATATATATATATATATATATATATATATATATATATATATATATATATATATATATA